ACCTGCTTTTTTGCCCACCTGTGGTCTTTCTGTTTCTCAGTTCAGGTAAGCAGATGTTGATTTATCTTTGAAGTGCATTTACCACTACTCCTGTTTTTCTATTCATGATATATACTTTTCTTACATCACCACAGGATCATCCAGCATTGGAGTAAAAATATATGGTCAGCCTAAAATGTAAAGTTTGAAAGGAGCTTGTTCCAAAAAGGCACCTGGACGGCCTTGTATTTTTTTTTCTTTGAAGACATTTTGCTTCTCATCCAAGAAGCTTCTTCAGTTCTAGCACTGATGATGTTACTTAGTTGGGTCATGAAACGTCTGCAAGAAAACCATCAAGCTCAGAAAGCACCAAGGACCCCACAATCCTCTTCCTCCTCCATTCCACAAGCCCCCTCTCTTCTAGCACTGATGATATTACCTAACTGGGTAATGAAATGTCTGCAAGAAAACAACCAACCTCAGAGAGCACCAAGGACCCCACCGTTCTTCTCCTTCTCCTTCTCCTTCTCCTTCTCCTTCTCCTTCCCCTTCTTCCTCTTTTTCTTCCTCTTCCTCTTCTTCCTCCTCCTCCTCCTCTCCACAAACCCCACTTCCTCCTACCACTGATGATGTTACCTAGTTGGGTAATGAAATGTCTGCAAGAAAACTCCCAACCTCAGAGAGCTTAAGGACCCCGTTGTTGTTGTTGTTGTTGTTGTTGTTGTTGTTGTTGTTGTTGTTCTTCTTCTTCTTCTTCTTCTTCTTCTTCTTCTTCTTCTTCTTCTTCTTCTTCTTCTTCTTCTTCCTCTTCCTCCTCCTCCTCCTCCTCCTCCTCCTCCTCTCTACAAACCCCACTCCCTCCTAGCACTGATGATGTTACCTAGTTGGGTAATGAAATGTCTGCAAGAAAACAACCAACCTCAGAGAGCACCAAGGACCCCTCATTTCAGCTCTGAACTACAAATATTCTCCTTGATGGCTTCTTCAGTTCAGAACTGAAGAAGCTTCTTGGATGAGAAGCGAAATGTTTTCAAAGACAAACTGCCAAAAAAAGTCCAGCTGCCTTTTAGAAAAAGCACCTTTGGGACAACCACGACCTGGAGAGGACGACGCTTTGGAGTTGTTTATTACAGGCGTGAGTTGGGTGGATGATGGCCCTTCTGGACCATCTAGGGGTGAAGAAGCAATCCAGAAATGTTTGAACCGAACAATTTAGGCTGAATCCTTCCACCCATTCATACGCAAGAGCAAGCAGGCTCTTGATTGTCCCAAAGGTGCTTTTTCAAGAGGCAACTGGACTTCCTTTGTTTTTCCTTGAAGACATTTCACTTCTCATCCAAGAAGCTTCTTTGGTTCTGACTCAACGACTCTCAGAAAGAGTGCTAACGACCAGATGACCGCAAGGAATATAAATCCTTCCATTCTCCACCATTCAGTCAGAACTGAAGAAGCTTCTTGGATGAGAAGCAAAAGGTCTTCAAGAAAAAACAAAGAAAGTTCAATTGCCTCTTGAAAAAGCACCTTTGAGGCAACCATGACCTGGATGATTGAGGATCTCCATAGACACCCTTCAAATGTAATGTTCATTCTGGTCCCATCAGACTGTGCTACCTTTCTCTCAAAGGGCAAGCGAACATGCCTCAGAGTTGTCTAGTTAGCAATAAAGCTGATTGGTCGTGTCTCATGTTGTTGACCGACAGCTGAGATGGCCAGGATGAGGTCCCTGGGTGTGTTACGAAGCACCGAATGCCAACTTGTAGACACTTTTCTGACAAATCTTTTGGACGGGAGACATTAACTTTGGCCTACTTCCCTGTTGGGGAGCGCCCAGTCTGGCAGGGAGGAGGGATCAAACACATATCTAGTCTAGAATCACTGTGCGATCACAAACGGGCTAGGACCGCTCCCCCTCCCTAAATTCCTTGGAGCCTTATCTAATTGTTACCAAGAGTTGGCTGGGAGATTATAGGCAGAACATGATACAGGAAGTCCTCGACTTAAAACAGTTCATTTAGGAACCGTTTAAAACTACAACAGCACTGAAAAAAGTGACTTAGGACCGTTTCGCACACTTATGACCCTTGCAGCCTCCCCATGGTCACATGATCAAAATTTGGATGCTGGGCCACTGGTTTATGACTGTTGTAGTGTCCTGGAGATCACGTGACTGTAGTGTCCCGGAGATTTATGACTGTTTTATGACAGTTGTAGTGTCCCGGAGATCACGTGATCCCCTTTTGCAATCAGCAAAGTCAATGGGGAAGCCGGATTCATTTAACAATCGTGTTACTTCCTTAACTGTTGCAGCGATTTCCTTAATAATGCGTCAAGATCAGTAGTAAAATGGGGCACAACTCACTTANTCCTCCTCCTCCTCCTCCTCCTCCTCTTCTTCTTCTTCTTCTTCTTCTTCTTCTTCTTCTTCTTCTTCTTCTTCTTCTTCTTCTTCTTCTTCTTCTTCTTCCTCTTCCTCTTCCTCTTCCTCTTCCTCTTCCTCCCCTCCTCCTCTCCACAAACCCCACTCCCTCCTAGCACTGATGATGTTACCTAGTTGGGTAATGAAATGTCTTCAAGAAAACAACCAACCTCAGAGAGCACCAAGGACCCCTCATTTCAGCTCTGAACTACAAATATTCTCCTTGATGGCTTCTTCAGTTCAGAACTGAAGAAGCTTCTTGGATGAGAAGCAAAAGGTCTTCAAGAAAAAACAAAGAAAGTTCAGTTGCCTCTTGAAAAAGCACCTTTGAGGCAACCATGACCTGGATGATTGAGGATCTCCATAGACACCCTTCAAATGTAATGTTCATTCTGGTCCCATCAGACTGTGCTACCTTTCTCTCAAAGGGCAAGCGAACATGCCTCAGAGTTGTCTAGTTAGCAATAAAGCTGGTCGTGTCTCATGTTGTTGACCGACAGCTGGGATGGCCAGGATGAGGTCCCTGGGCGTGTTACGAAGCACCGAATGCCAACTTGTAGACACTTTTCTGACAAATCTTTTGGAAGGGAGACATTGACTTTGGCCTACTTCCCTGTTGGGGAGCAGCCAGTCTGGCAGGGAGGAGGGATCAAACACGTATCTAGTCTAGAATCACTGTGCGATCACAAACGGGCTAGGACCGCTCCCCCTCCCTAAATTCCTTGGAGCCTTATCTAATTGTTACCAAGAGTTGGCTGGGAGATTATAGGCAGAACATGATACAGGAAGTCCTCGACTTAAAACAGTTCATTTAGGAACCATTTGAAACTACAACGGCACTGAAAAAAGTGACTTAGGACCGTTTCGCACACTTATGACCCTTGCAGCCTCCCCATGGTCACATGATCAAAATTTGGATGCTGGGCCACTGGTTTATGACTGTTGTAGTGTCCTGGAGATCATGTGACTGTAGTGTCCCGGAGATTTATGACTGTTTTATGACAGTTGTAGTGTCCCGGAGATCACGTGATCCCCTTTTGCAATCAGCAAAGTCAATGGGGAAGCCGGATTCATTTAACAATCGTGTTACTTCCTTAACTGTTGCAGCGATTTCCTTAATAATGCGTCAAGATCAGTAGTAAAATGGGGCACAACTCACTTANGTGACTGTAGTGTCCCGGAGATTTATGACTGTTTTATGACAGTTGTAGTGTCCCGGAGATCACGTGATCCCCTTTTGCAATCAGCAAAGTCAATGGGGAAGCCGGATTCATTTAACAATCGTGTTACTTCCTTAACTGTTGCAGCGATTTCCTTAATAATGCGTCAAGATCAGTAGTAAAATGGGGCACAACTCACTTAAAAACTGTTTTGCTTAGCGACAGAAATTTTGGACTCGGTTGTGGTCTCAGTCTAATTGTGTAATTAGTTAGCCTGGACTCTGCAGGTGTAGTTCTGGTTAGCCTGTATTGTGTTGGGTTACTTTAGTCTTTGTACTTTCCATTTCTTCTCAATGGAAAAAAACATCAGATTCATAAGAGTGGAAAGCGGTTAACAAATCCATGAAGCAGATAATCAGCAACCCAATGTGACCATAAAGGTTACTCTATTAGTAAGCTGTGATGTATTAGGATGAGAATTAGAAAATGTTTATGAAATAAAATAAGAATATATTGAGGTAAGTAATATGTGTATTTTAGATATCATAACTTTTGCGTAGTGAAATAAAGGAGATTTGGGTTACCGGAAATTTGAATATTATGGATGTTAAAGGTTAAAATTGGAATACTATAATTAGAAATTAAGAATTAGGTAAAATTCAAAAACAGGATATGGATATGTATAAGCAAAAAATAGATCAACAACTGTTTTAATTGAGCTTGCTATGGTTAGAAACTTACTAGCTTAACTATGTTATATCAAATGTTAATGGGAAATAGAGGAGGAATTTTTGATAATGTAACCTGAGACATGTACTAAAAATGCTGTTACTGAACTATTGATTACCCAGTCACCACGTTGCTTTCTAAATACTTGGATGTTAAGTTGGAAAACTAATAAAATTTGTTTTTTTAAAAAATAACCCAATGTGGCTGGCCCTAGTGATGCAAAGACCTATTACTGAATGATGTTGAGGTAGGGATATTATGACCTTGACAAAGTGTTGGGTGATTCAACATTTCTGGGCTACCACAAAATTCTTTCTAGGTGACCCTCCGTCCTACAAGGACTGCTAAAATTGTCTCCCAAGTTTTGGAGATGAGGCCGTAACGGACTTTTTTCAGACCTAAGACAGGGCCAGCTTATGAGAATTTCAAGCAGTAATTTATTTATTTTTTTATAGAGACCGTGGAGTTAAAATCCAAGGAGACCAGGCTAGGAAAAGCTTCCACACCAAAAGAAAGTGAGTTTGGGCCTTAAGGAACGTTTTTGATCTTGTTAAGGTTTTTTTTTAAGACCCAATCCAGCTAATAACGAAGGTGTACAAGGCTGATTCCAACCCCACAGAATCAAGAGGTCAAACATATTGTCCTTCGACGCTGACAACAACAAAGCAACACAATTGCCACAACAAAGCAACACAATTGCCAAAGAGAACGATTTATTGAGTGCAAATTTCCATACTTCTCAATGCATTTGAATAACTGCATATATTCCTTCATTACAGAAGTGCAAATGATATCTGGATATTGATATGATCCGTTGTTGTAATCTTAATGGAGAGCCAGGAGTGACCCCCCCCCCAGGAACTCGACAAGGTGGTTTCAACATAGATTTCAAAAATTCAAAATTTACAACGATGTAAAAACAGATGAAGCGTCAACTTGCCTCAGGAATCAGAGAATGGAAACCTAAAAGAGAAAACACTGTATCGTTAAAGCACAGTTTGTCTTCCAGATTTTGATGTGCATTGAACATGCTCCACAGATAAAACCAGGTGAAGCTTCCACGTTGTGGCTGCCATCTTGATTGTTTTCACCTACTCTGTGGAGACCCCAGATTCCCGCCCCGATGTCTTGCAAACATCAAAACACTTGGGAAAACTAGGGCAAATGAATCGTTCCTGAATATTTTCTGAAAAAGTCATACTTACAGTGCCCTCAACGGCGGTTTAAGCTTTTTAGTTTTCCTAAAGAGAGAAAAAGAGACCCCAAGGTAATATCAGATGTGTCTCCATCCTCAATCCCCAGGCAGGAACTCCTCAATTTTTTTTGCCATGGAATTGCCTAAGGTTTTCCTTCCTTCTACTCACCTATCATGTCAATCTCCAGAGTGGTCTCACGTTGCAGGCCAGATCTGGGGTTTCTTGCTCGACAAGTATAATTCCCAGAATGCTCTGGGGTGATATCCAGATTGATCACCGCGGGGTTCTCCTCAACTGGCAATCCATTGTAAAACCACAGAATGTCTGCAGCAGGAGAGGCAACAGCTACGCAGCTTAGAGTGATTTGGGACAGGTTGATGTCAACTGTCTCGTTGATAAACGGAGTGTCAGGTCCATCTGCAAGAAACAGGCATATTTTTTAACCAGAGAAGAATATCTTTCAAAATCATGGCTTTGCGGTTTTCTGAAATGTGACAAGGAAGAATGTTCCCATTTCATTTTGTCTAATGGGTCTAGGGAAGGGACTGCCCTGGATGACACCTGGATCAATGGTTTTTCAAATTTGTCCATTTTCAGATGGGTGGACTTCAACTCCCAGAATCCCCATGCTGGCTGGGGAATTGTGGGAGTTGAACTCCACCCATCTGAAAATGGCCAACTTTGAAAAAAACACTGACCTAAACTGCTCAGAATGCCTAGGTTGGAAAAATCAAAATTAACCCGGATGTGGGGTTCTGCACTAAACTGAGAAACGGGCTGGGTTCATAATATGTGCTAATTTACTGAACCCCTCCCAAACAAACCAAGTTTAAAATGAACTCAGCTTACCGTATAATTTGAATGTAGCCACTAGGTTACCAAATGATAATAGAACAACAGAGTTGGAAGGGGCCTTGGAGGTCATCTAGTCCAACCCCCTGCTCAGGCAGGAAACCCTATACCATTTCAGACAAAGATGGAGCACCCACAATTTCTGGAGGCAAGTCGTTCCACTGATTAATTGTTCTCACTGTGAGGAAATTTCTCCTTAATTCCAGGTTGCTTCTCTCCTTGGTTAGTTTCCACCCGTTGCTTCTTGCCCTGCCTTCAGGTGCCTTGGAGAATAGCTTGACTCCCTCTTCTTTGTGGCAGCCCCTGAGATATTGGAACACTGCTATCCTGCCACCCCTAATCCTTCTCTTCATTAAACTAGAAATACTCAATTCCAGCAACTGTTCTTTATATGTTTTAGCTTCCAGTCCCCCAAAGGCAAGTTGTTCCATTAGTTAACTGTCCTCACTGTTAGGAAGTTACTCCTCAATTCTAGGTTGTTTCTATCCTTGGTTAGTTTCCATCCATTGCTTCTAGTCCTGCCTTCCGGTTCCTTGGACAATAGGTGGCCCCCCTCTTCTTTGTGGCAACTACCGAGATATTGGAATGCTGCTAATGTCACCCCTAAACTAGACCAGTGGTGGCGAACCTATGGCACGGGTGCCAGAGGCGGCACTCAGAGCGCTCTCTGTGGGCACGCGCGCCGTCGCCCCAGTCCTAGGCCTTCAGCTGGGTTTTATAAAACCTTTTCTCCTTAGGCCTCCGCCGCTGAGTACAAAAAAAAAGGTTCAATCAATCAGTCAATTTCAACTCCTCGCGGGAAAAAAAAAGATCTCGCAAAGTTGGAATTGATTGATTGAACTTTTTAGTCCCACCCAGTCTGCTGTTACCACCACAGCCACGCCCACCCAATGGGCCACACCCACCCAATGGGCCACACCCACCCAGCACCCGACGATGCATAAGTGGGTTTTGGGTTGCCGTTTGGGCACTCGGTCTCCAAAAGGTTCGCCATCACTGAACTAGACATACCCAATTCTTGCAACCGTTCTTCATATGTTTTAGCCTCTATATGAGAGATTGCACCTCTCTTAGCACAAAGGTGAAATGAGGCATGCTAGCTACACGGCATGACTGACGATAAGAAGATCAGACTTACATATGATACTTAAGGGGTGGGGAGCGCTGACATTCGAAGAGAAGCTGTTGGAAGCGTTGCACGTATATTGTGCGGCATCGCTTCGATCACATGGGTTAAACACAAGGGTCTGGTTGTTGTTTATCAAATAGACACGTGTATTGTTCTTCACGGGCTGGCTTCCTTTGAACCAAGAATACGAAATGTCGTCACCTTCGGCTGTGCAGTTCAAGGAGATAAGTTGGTCCTCTGTGCTGTCTGATGGACCAGTGATTGTGACGTCGTGTACGCAACCTGCAAGGAGGGGAAAAGAGCTGATGAGGCTGAAGGTCTTACCCGGAGGCTGTAGTGACACACACACACACACACACACACACCCATCCAGAGGGTGGATAGGACGAATGGAGAGGCAGTTTGGTCTAGGTCAGGGGTAGGCAACCTTGGCTCTTTTATGACTCGTGGACTTCAACTCCCAGAATTCCTCAGCCAGCAGTGCTGAGGGGAAAGGGAGAGGTTTCCATGCTGAGCCATGCTGGCTCAGGAATTCTGGGAGTTGAAGTCCACGAGTCATAAAAGAGCCAAGGTTGCCTACCCCTGGCCTAGGGAATGCTGGGAGTTGAAGTCCACAGGTCTTAAAAGTTGCCAAGTTTGGAAACCCTTGGTCTAATGGTTAAGGCACCAAACTAGAAAGCAAGAAACCGTGAGTTCAAGTCCCGCCTTAGGCAGGAAAGCCGGCCAGGTGACTTTGAGCCAATCGTTCTCTCTCAGTCCAACCCACCTCACAGGATTGTTGCTGTGGGGAAAACATGAGGACTAGTAAGGTGTTTGGGATATGTTTGCGGCCTTGAGTTAGTTGTAGCAACGATAAAGGCGAGGTAGAAATAAATAAATAAAACCAAGCACGTCTCACTCAACAACTGCCTTGCTTAGCAATGAAAACTGTGGTCATAAGTCGAGGGCTATATATGTACAGCCCGGGAACACTGATCCCTGACAATGACTTGGATTTCCAGTTAGGCCAGGGGTAGGCAACCTTGGCTCTTTTATGACTGGTGGACTTCAACTCCCAGAATTCCCGAGCCAGCCGTGCTGAGGGGAAAGGGAGAGGTTTCCATGCTGAGCCATGCTGGCTCAGGAATTCTGGGAGTTGAAGTCCACCAGTCATAAAAGACCCAAGGTTGCTTACCCCTGGCCTAGGCCGCTTTATGACTCATGGACTTCAACTCCCAGAATTCCTGAGCCAGCCATGCTGAGGGGAAAAGGTGAGGTTTCCATGCTGAGCCATGCTGGCTCAGGAATTCTGGGAGTTGAAGTCCACCAGTCATAAAAGAGCCAAGGTTGCCTACCCCTGGTCTAGGGGTTGAGGCACTAGGCCAGAAAGTTGGAGAAAGCGAGTTCCAGTTCTTCCTTTAGGCATGAAAGACAGCTGGGGGGACTTTGGACCAACCACTAGGAGATGGTGAGTTCGGGTCCGCTCTTAAGTATGAAAGTCACTGACGTGCCTATGTTATGGCCAATTTGTTGGCTTGTTCGCTTGTTTGTATCCTGCCTTTATTACTTTTACAAATCACTTAAGGCGACGAATGTGTTCAACGCACCTTCCTTCTCCTATTTTCCCCGCAACGACAACCCTGTGAAGTGGGTTGGGCTGAGAGACAAGGACTGGTCCAAGGTCACCCAGCTGGAAGAAGGAGGGAGCCCCGTACCAAACTTCGCTCGGACTGACCGTTATGAAAGTCCCGCCTGAACCTGGTTGGTCATACTGGGGTGGGCAGTGAGAGATAGTTAAGAGAGGGAAAAGTAGAACTCAGAGGTTTTCCCACTTCTGGCTTTGCAATACAG